GTGAAGAAGGAATGATAGAATCGGAGTATCACATCTTGCAAACTCCTAATGAAATAACGGATCTAGCACATGATCATCACAAAAAAACAGGGATAAAATCAGATATTACCCCTGCCTCTTGTTATAAGAACACACCACTACCTACAAAGCAGACTTGCTAAAAAAAAAATCACACCTGAATCAGACCAGATGTCAGGATCTGCTTTTCAATTTTCAGGAAATACAAGAGAAAACAATTAAAAAAAAATAGATAGAGGGGGGAATCTGTTGGTGAAAAGAGACTTAAGAAACATTATTGAGACATGTGAACCAAATTCAATGTGTAGACCTTGTTTGAACCCAGCTTTGAACAAACCAACTAAAGGAAGGAAGGGAGAAAGGGAAGGAGAGGGGGAAGGAGTGGGAGAAGAAGGGAGGAAGAAAGGTGAGAAATCTGAATACTAACAATATTTGTTGATATGGAAGCAGTATTTTTTATGTGTGATAATATGTTGTGGTTATGTTTTTTAATTAATTATTACTTATTATTATTGGGAATGCATACCGAAATATTTACATATGAAATAATGTGGTATCTGTGATTTGCTTCATAACAATCCAGGGAGGAGGCAGGAAGTAGGTCCTGCTTTAGATAAACTAAGATTGGCCATGAGTTGATGATTGTCTTAGCTGCACATGGGTACGAGGGGTTCACTGTTGTATGCTTAAAAGATGTTAAAAGACTGTATGCTTTAAAAATGAAAAAAAGACTAAGATGCTGAAACATTTAAAAATCAGGCATCACCTTCATATGTTGCTGATGGAAATGTAAATTGGTATAAGTTTTACAGAAGGCAATATGACAATATCTATTAAATTGAAAATGCACATATCCTTTGACTCAGAAAATCACTTCTAGAGATGCAAACACCACAGTATGATAATATGTACAGTAAATTAACAATTTAGTGAAAAAAATCAGATTTTGAATTGCAAATATATGATTTCTGTGTGGGTTTTCAGAGTCTTTTTTCATGAAGTGAGGTGCACCTGGTCACCTTGCTGCCAGAGCAGGTTCTGTTTGGTTTCCTGCCAGCCTCGCTAAGGAACAAGATGCTGGACCAGTCACTGCTGTTGGTCACGTCCTCACACTCAGCACTCATTCAGCAGACCCTGGACAGTTTGTTTATTTATGAGGAAAAGACTCTGCATAAACAAGAAGAGCCTTTATGGGGGCGGGAAAGCCAGGGTGTTAACTATCCTCCTTCGTCCGCTCAGCTTCCTTCCTTGAGGAAGGGCCCCAGTGGGAAACCGGAGGGGGGCTCTGTCCAGGCAGGAAGGAGAGTCAGAAACCCGCAGCAGTGACCTGACCTTTTCCACAGGCCCAGCCTCTGCCCAACTCTGGCCTTCTGTCCTGCATCCTCCTCAGCGCTGCTGACCCACCTGTTCTCGGAGGCATGTCTCCTTCAGGAAGCCTAGCCTGCTCTCACTTCAGAGGCAGCTATGGAAGAGTGAAAAGAGCCCAGATTAGGAGCCAGGGACTGACTCTGCCCCAAACTAAGTACATGACTTCATATATGTCGCTTAGCCTCCCAAGACATTTTTTCATCCATAAAATAAGCCTACCTATCTTGCTGTGCTGCCAGAAGTGAATGAGATTGTCATGTTGCTTCATCCTGGGTTCCACACTACATCTCTGCCTACTGCTTCTCAGTCTCCTTGGCCTGCCCTCCTCGGCCTGTGCCTCAGTCCTCTGCCTCCTCTTCTCTCTTTGGGCTCCCAGAACTAAACTGTCACTCATCCCATCTATGCTCCAGATCCACGCACCCAACTGGCCCTCTCTGCTTGCATCTCCCACAAGTGTCTCAAACTTGATTTATCTAAAACCAAACTCATTATTATCCTCTCCAAACTTGGTCATCATCCAGTGTTCTTTATCCCAGCAATACCTGTAACATACACCCAGTTGCTCAAGCCAGAAATCTGGGGATTTCCCTTGACTCTACTCTGTCCATTCATGGATTACAGTAGCAGTAGCCATCGTCTACCACATGGCCTGGGAAACAGAGAAGGCTGGACTGGAGTAAGATAAAATGAAGCAAACACACCTAGAAGCATGGCAGAGAACAGGATAGAAAAGACCATCTGGGTTCCTAAAGGGCTACATGCTGTGGTTCTGCTCTGGAGCCCAGCTGCAGCCCCACCCTTGGATTTTATGAGACCCCTCAGTACCTTTTCCAATAACGCCCCCTCCCCTACTGTTTTTTGTTTTTCTTTTTCTGCTTAAGTTAGTTTGAATTGGGTTTCTATACTTGCAAATACAAGAGTCCTAATTAATATATACATATTTGATCAGTCAGAATAGGCTAGTTATGCTGTAGTAATGAACAACCCCCACATTGTGGTATCTTAACTCCACCACAAGTCCATCAGCAGCAGGGAGCTCTGCTCATCACAGTCCCTCAGGAAGCAACTGCCATCTTGAATATTGTTGGCTGCTGTTCCTCAGAGCTGACTTCTCATTCAAAGTTTCCACCCTAACTGCCTGTGGTAACCAGTCTCCAAGATGGCTCTAATGATCCTCACCTCCTGTCACTCTTATATAGTCTCTTTCATACTAACTAGGGCTAACATATTAAGAGACTGCAGAAATGACCATATGACTTACAATGCTGGGTCATAAAAGACATTGTGGCTTCTACTTTGTCTCTTTCTGGCATCACTTGTTCTGGGGGAAGCCAGTTTCCCGGTCATGAGAACGTTCAAGCAGCCCTACAGAGTGGCCCACAGGGTGAGGAGCTAAGTCCTCCTGATAACAACCAGTACCGACCAAGCATGTAAGTGAATCATCTTGGAAGCTGACCTTCCAAGCCTTAGTTAAACCTTCAGATAAGAGCTACCCCAGCTGACATGCTTTTAAAAATTGAATTAAAGATTCTTTAAATTCTATAGTGCTTTACAATTTTCAAAAGTTTCATATACATGATTTCATATAATCCAATGATAATCCTTTTTTCTCCCTCCTACCCCTATATTGCCCTTCTCCCTTCCCTCTCCCCATTGGGAAGCACTAGTTTGTTCTCTATATCTGTGAGTCTGCTTTTGTTTTATTCGCTAGTTTGCTGTCCAAAAGTCTGTTACCAGTTTATATTCTCAACTTCATGTATAAAACAGTCTCTGTTTCTCCATAACCTTGATAGCATCAGGTATATTGTTTTGTAATTTTCCTAGCTTTAATGGCAAAAATTTGTATCATCTTAATTTTACTTTCTAAGAGTAAAGTTGAACATTTTTCATAAGGAATTAACTCTTAAAAACAGAAGAAGAAAATCTTCTAACTTCTTTATGACTCATGAAACCCCCTCTGATCTTCCAAGAAGTGGTGAAACCCAGAATGGGGACCAAAACATGGCACGATATGGGTTTCCCACGTAGAGTTGCCTCAGTTAAATAATTAAGCTAGTGACTTCATAAAGCATGGGTTCCTTTATAAGTCATCATATGTTCTCACTTCAATTAAAGTCCCGTGTTGCTCCTCTTTAATCTGAACTTTTTCTTCCCTTCTCCTCTCAGCCAGAAGTCATTGGCTCTGCATCGCTGCCTTTGAGAGCTGTCACTCAGTCTGAGCTGCTTTCTTTCAGTGATCAGCTTCCAGTGCAACAGGAAAATGGCCAGACTCCACTTGGCCCCCTTAGGGTATGTACATATACATTCAAGTAGTCAAGTATTTATGGAGCATGTGTTACTGGCTGGCCCTGAAAATACAGCAGTGAATAAGAAAATCAGGGTCTTAACAGCTTATGTTAAAATAGGGCAACAAAAGTGCTGGGAAGGAACTAAATGGTATGATATGATAGTGAGTACCTGAGAGGAAGTAGGGGATGGGAAGGTCTTGCTAAGGAGGTGAGATTTGAAGAATGAGAGGAAGAGGCCACCAAGTAAAAAGCACAGGGAAGTTCATTGCAGAGAAGAGAATAGCACATGCAAAGGCCCTAAAGTGAGAATGGGCTTGGCTTTGTCAAGGGACAGAATGTTGCCCAGGACAGTGAGCTAAAAGGGAGAGTGGTAGAAGCTAAGACTGACAGGCAGGCAGGAGCCAAATCGTTCAGAGCATTGTAGGTCAGAGTAAAGGGTTTATCTTTTATCCTCAGAGCCAAGAAAGGACATTGAACATGGGAGTGTTTTAAAAGATTTTAGATTACTGTGTGGATAATAGATTTTAGGGTACAAGAGGGAAATTAGGGAGTCCGTTGCATACATCCAGAAAAGAGATGATTGATAATTTAGACTAGAGTAGTGGCAGTGAACAGGGAGAGAAGTGACTGAGTTTGTGCTTGGTGGAATGAATTCTGATGTGTAATGCATTGGAGAGAGGATTCTTTCCTTTTATTCAGAAGTATCAACTTCTTAGATAGAATTTTTTTTTTAGAGCTTGCCCTAATCATTTTTAAAAATTGAAGTATAGTTGGTGTACAATATTATATATTCCAAGTATACAATATAGTGATTCACAATTTTTAAAGATTATTTACTACATTTATAGTTATTATAAAATATTGGCTATATTCTCAGTGCTGTATAATATATCCTTGTTGCTTACTTTATACATAATAGTTTGTACTTCTTAAACTGCTACCTCTATATTGCCTCCCCTCTTCCCTCTCCCCACTGGTAACTAATGATTTGTTCTGTGAATCTTTTTGTTGTTGTTGTTGTATTCACTAGTTTGTTGTATTTTTTTAGATTCCACATATAAGTGATATCATACAGTATTTATCTTTCTCTGACGTATTTCACCTAGCATAATGCCCTCCAAATCCATCCATGTTGCTGCAAATGGCAAAATTTCATTCTTTTTATGGATGAGTAGTATTCCATTATATACATATACCACATCTTTATCCATTCATCTGCTGATGGACACTTAGGTTGCCCAGCTGACATCTTGACTGCACCTTGTGAGAGACCTTGACCCAGAATCACCTAGCTAAGCTTATCCCAAACTCCTGACCCACAGTGTATGAGACAATAAATGTTTATTCTTTTAAGTCATTAAATTTGGCGGTGATTTGTTACACAGCAATAGATAATACACAATCTCATAAACTTAAGAGATTTCATATATGAAAACTTACTTCTATCTCTGGCATTTGTACAGTGTGAGAAATTATTCTTCTCTTTCCCCCAGCCTCTGGCTGAGCTCAGGTTACCTAACTAAAAATAAATATCAGATTTGAGGAATCAAACCCAGGAACACAGAATTCCATTTTATTCTTTAAAGAAGCCTTTTCCTTTCCCTTTATTGCAGAAAGCACCACTTCACATCACCTTCACCTGATAATCCAGAGATATGATGCCTACAAAAATCAAAGGAACTGGAGCCCACACTTAACTCAATTATTACCTCCTCAACAGTATTGAGGAGGTAATAAATATTTGAGAAATGACACCCTACAATATCTGAGTTTTTCTAAGCTGAGAAAATGGTGTCATTAGCACTAGTGCTAATGCTTTATATTTATATAGCATGTGTTACTTTTCATAATGTTTTCACATCTATATCTGGCATAGGCGGGGAAGAAATAAATAAACCAGGATATATATGAAACAGTGGCTCAGAGCTCATGATTTGCCCATAGTCTCATGGTGAGTGAATGACAGGGCCAGGTCCAGAATCTAGATTTCAGTGACTCCAAGTCAGGTGTAGTGCTTTCCAAGGCAGGACCTCCAGGCTTTGATAACATAAGCACTCTTCAGTTGAGGCTGTTCTCTGTGATCAATGTGCACTTGTAGGTCTCCTTAAAGGCCTCAAGGAAAGGTGGTACTACTTCATCCACAGTGACATGCCTCTGGAGCTCCTTACTCAGGGAAGTGACGCCTGTCCCAACTAGCCCACAGGGCACAATGTGCTCAAACCACGTGAGGTCGGTAGAGCAGTTCAGCGCCAGGCCGTGGGACGTGATGTGCCTTCCACAACGGACTCCTGCAAGGCAAACCAATGAGTTTTAGAATCGTTATTTTCCCTCACCAGTCTCCATGATCCCTCTGTGATGAGGAAAATGGACTAGATCACTGATTTTCCAAATTTGTTTCTAGAACATCCAGGAGTTGTGCACGGATCAGGGGAGGGGGACAAAATGAGAGGAGGGGTGTATGGCTCCACAGTAGCAGCACTTAGAATGAAAATTACAGAATATGTCCTTTAACAGAGATTCTGTTGCTTTAATTTTTTTTTAAATTTTTTTCACCCTTACTGTCCTGACATTGTGAAGTAACCTGGCAATTCACTTCTCGTATCTCTCCATTCGTAAAAATGAGTGTTGAACGAGATGACCTCTGAGGGCTCTGAATCAGTAGGAGGTTTAAAAACTTTTAAAGGCGACGGGTAGTTCTGATTCAAAGCTCGCGCCAGATACATCGCCTCCCAGCCGGAGAGCTGCCCTCACCTCCATTGGTCGGGCCTCGGAAAGCCCCGCCCTCTCCCCGCGCCGAGTCGCTCACCGATCGCGCAGATCTTGCGCTCACCCAGCCAGACGCCGGTGTAAGGCGGAGGCAGCGCGCGGGCGCCGGGTAAGCCCTGGAGCTCGCACAGGCGTACGGCG